ACTTATAAACTTATACCTTCTGCTTACCTTACCACGCTTTTAACCTTTAAAGCGACCCTAAAGAACTGCCTATAACAGTATCATCATTAATTATATAGTAATTATAGATGGAAATATTACCTTTATTATGCCTTTAATACTTATTATATATATTATTTCTAAAGATACTTGATATATAATATTCACAAAAAAATGAATTATGTAATTGCCAATCCTGAAAAATCATCCCAAATTTTTGAGGAAAAAGATATTGATAAAACTAATATTAAGTTTAATGACCCTAATAATACAACTGAAAATAATGATAATCACGAAATACATGACTTTTGCCTTGACAAATTTGCAATAAATTATGTAAAGAAATATGTAATTTCAATGGTTACTAATTTTAAAAGAGAAGAAGTACATGTGGATTGGTTTGGATTTGACATTAATATACAATCAGAGGTAGAATCAATTTGGATCTCATCAGCAGATGATAATAAAAACACTGATTATGAGTTAAATGATATTGGTGGAAATATAGAGAATTAATGTGTAATCATTGACATTGTTGATGGTATAATCTAGCGATATACAAATAATGCATATTGTCTAATCAAACAATTAATGGAAATGCGAATGGGCAAGGATCTTTACATTTACTTGGAATGTTCTTATCTTATTTTAATTAGGATCAGGATGGTGCTCATAAATACGGCTTAAAAGACACTGTTTTTATTAATAAGAGCTGGATATACCTACGTCAGTGTCTTTTTTGTGGCAATAATAAGTATTTTGCTAGTAGAGGTGATTATAAACATTATTTCTGAAAGGTTATAGGACGTAATGTACAAATTCTATGCACTGGCTTAAAAGAATATTTATGAAAAATAAACTTTGTCAAACTTTAAATTATGCAACCTGATCTCGATATATTTGTTTATCTTGTTTTGAAATTGAAAGATGTCATTGATAGAACAAATTATGCATTGGGATACGTATATGAAATTGGTGAAGTAAAAGAAGGTTACTTCTTTTATTCTAAATTTGAAGTAGCAATTGAAATGAGTTCAAATTCAATTTGGTATTGGTTAATCCAAGCCATTCATGAAATGACTAAATTAGATTTAAGTGAAGGTTAGATCAGATATACAGCTGCAATTTCATCAACTAAAAAACAGCGAAGACAATTAAAAGGGAAAAAGGAAAAAAAAACGTAATTTTTTTAATTTTGTAAATTATTATTTTTTATTTTTTTTTTTATTTTTTAAAATTTTAATAAATATTGGTTGATATTTGGTTGTTTATAAAAATATTATTTGATTTTATTCATAAAATATAAATCTGCTAATTTATGTTATTGTAAAATGATTATTTATCATTACTAAATAAGTAATTTTTAAATAAGAAATTTATCTATTAAAAATAATTTGTAATATAAATCAGACAAATCGGTTTATATATTTGTAACACAATTTCATTTAAAAAAATCATTATCATTATAAAATTACAATATGCATGTTATATTTATCATTATAAAATCAAATTCAATCTACATATACTAAATCAATTAGTTTTTATTATTTCAATCATTTTCATTATTATTATCATTAATATCTTATTATTACTTTCATTATTTTATTATCTTGTTTGATTTTATGA